GGCCCCTGACCTTAGCATGAGGCTACAAGTTCAAACCCCAGGACTGCAACCCCCGAAACAGTTAGTTCTGTGGTCCTATCACAGCACACATAACAATATATGCTCAGCCCCCCAAGACCCTCCACCTCACCAGCTCCCCGAGGCTGAAAGGCAGCATCTTGGTATGTCTATAGCACTCACGCTTAGCATACTCGTCAGGAAACATTAGTTAAGACTGGAAATGTCACCAGACCTCAGAAGAACCATGTTGGAAGTCCATCAAAGGGCCCAGAAAGGTTGAAGGACATCTGTGGCACAATCAGACACTGCCCCCACACTAAGTCCTTGCCTGCGAACCCAAGCTGGAGCCGAAACAGACCACCCGAGTCCCCCACAGGAAAACACACTGTCTTTTAAACAGCAACAACTTATGAATGGACAGAGGCCACCTACCTTCTCAACCCGGAGGAGGAAACCACCATGCCTGTGTGATACAGCGGCAGCCTGGGATATAAATAGCTTCTACAAAGGTTAGCAAAATGCAGACAAGAAATCTACGGTGGGTTACCAAGGGAAACCAGATGCTCAGTGCTACACCTCACCTGTTGCAGCTCCTATCTAGAGAGAGCCTCCTCAAGGCTCCTCTCACACTCCACTCCCTCAAGGATGGAATGCGGGGTAGGGCTAAAGGGAACCTGAAGCCTGGGGGGTGTGAGTGACCATTTCCTACCTACTTCTGTGCAATGCACACTTGCACTGAAGAAAATGTTTTTTTTTTGTTTGATTGTTTGTTTGTTTTCTGTCTCACATATCTCTTCCCATCAACTCACTCGCTTGCTGTTTCCTCTCTGGAAAAGTCTGCCTTGGAAAGGTGCGGTGAACAAGCCCTGCCTAAAGATGGGAGGCACGTGCTGTCCCATGAAATGCAGAAGAGGGGAGGGACCTCGTGTCTGCAGCCTTCAGTGGATGTTCCCTTTGTTGGAGGAAGTACCTCCCTGGGTACCCGGAGAGCTCCCAGGGTGGTGGTGGGGGAGGGAGGGGCCAGCTACAGCTGCTGGGTTATGACAAGTGTGAAGCAAATCTCATTTGTCATTGAAAAGCAACCCCAGGGGGGGACACTGGAGTAAGGTTATTTATAGCTCTCATGTATGCAACCCTGAACTCAGACGCTTAAGTTGCCAGATACAGCAACAGTGTACCTAAAGCACACTTGTGAACTTGGACACAGGGACAGCAGCGAACCCCACAACTTCAGGGATCCCAAACTCACCCCATCACACACCCTCCCGAGTGTCAGTACTCTGAGACCTGGGATAAAATGGATTTCAGTGTTTCCCTCTTCAGAGCACCAAGTTCTGCCTTCCTGCCAAGGATTAAGAGATCAGGCCTGGAGCCTGGGGCTAGAGTGCAGCCTGCCAAGCAGATCCCCGCTGGCTCTGGCACGTTTGGGCAGAGGGAAAGCTCCCTGCTTCCTTCCATTCCCAAGAGTAGAGGCTGTGGGGACAACCTCACCTTTCTAATCCCTTCCCAGAGCAGACAGAGGGCTAATGCAGAGTCTACACTGAAGGCCCAAAGCCAGGCACAAAAGGAGAAGTTCCACAGGGACAGGCAGAAAGCCAGACCTCCCTGAAAGGCCCCCAGGGTAGAGGAAGGTGCCTCAGTCAACTTCCACTCCAAAACACTTGGCAGTCAAAATGGCAAGCTGTCCTAGGACCACCCTGGGGCTCAGCCAAGCAGGGCAGGGGATTTCCCTTCAGCGGCAATACTTGTGAGTGAGCGGAGCATTGAGAGATGTCCCTAGACAAGGCACGTGGTGGGGACTGATGTCCAGCACACTCTTATACTCTCATTCTCCTTCTCTGCTAATCTCAGCAAAGGTCAAGCAGACAGCAGCCTGCTCAAGAAGGCCAAAGGTCACCACCTAACCACCCTCCCCTGACTGGTAGACTCCTAATATGTCAACCGGGCAAATGATGTTTATGGCTTTGGACTTGACTGGGGTCTCAAGGAGGCCAGGAGTAAAAAGTGGACTAGAGACGCCAACCTGCGGGAGACACTGCTGCATTTCTTTAAGTAGGTATGCCAAGCACCCCCACCCCCACACATGAGCAAACAGTTTGGAGAGAAGGCAAGTGCTTTCCAGGGCTATGATCTCCCTCCTCATCCCTCTGTCTCTGGAAAAAAAAGATCCAACAGAAACCTACATATGCCCCTTGCTTCTCACCTGCTGCACGGAACCCGAAACGATTTCTCTGGCTCCACACATCGGCTAATGCTGCTAAGATCCGGCCCTCTACTAGAATCTATCAACTTTAGGCATGATACATGTGTCCTGTTCCACTTGTGACCACCCCCCCCCCCATTACCCTGCCCACAGCGGAGCACAGTGATTTCTTGTGATACCATTTGCACGCCTACTATATACAAAGAACTGTGGATGCCAACTGTTTTTGCAAAGGTTAATGAATTTAAGGCAGCCTACAGCTCTGCGGTGTAGATGCTAATTATCTACATTTTACTATTACAGAGAAAGTAAATCACTCAGCTAGAGTTACACACAAGGTAGAAATCTGAACCCAAGACCTTTTGGTCCTGAAGCCCACAGGCTTTCCTCAATTTTCTAACTGGCTGAAAATTCTCACAGGTAAGTATATGCATGTATGTGTATGTATTTATTTTACCGCTATTAGTATCATAAAAGGAATCTGATAGCTAGCTACTCATAGAGATATGAGGTCTTAACAATCAATACAGAAATCTACCTAAGATGCATGCACAATCACTTGATCCAGACTCTTACATACACTCACACCAGCAGTGGCAGGCCTCTAACTTAAATGTTTTCTTTTGTGCACCCCACATGCTTAGCATGATACAACGGCCCTACTACGTTGTCTGATAATGGCTAAATTTGCTTGTTACCAATGCAGTGAATTATCGCTAACTTTAACCCCAAATCAAAAGTATTAGTCAGTGGGTGAAAAACCACCGTCGCCTACCATCAGGTGGCACAGGACCCTGATCAGATCCTCCCCACCCCCACCCTGTCTACTACCACCAAGAGAATGACTGTAAAACTTCAGGTACTCTATGCACACGAACAACCTGGCCGACCCAGGGGCATCTCGGCATGTCCCAGGACCTCAAATGGGAGTGATGCATGGGTCTTCATCTCAGCGGCAAGCTCTTGTGAGCTGCATGACCTGAGATGTGCATACATGGGCATATGGTTAAATTGTAACTGGATCTCTGTCTTAACAGACTTCTGACATTCACACGTCCTGTTTAACAAGGGGCATGTTTAAACACACACGATCATTGCAACAACGAAATGAGGTAGCATGAAAAGTTAAAAATAGAAACTCCCCGCCCCCCCAAAAAACCCTCTCATTTTCAACCAATGTCAACTTCTTATCTCTCAAGAGCACAACTTAAAAGTCCGTGGGGCCAGGTGGTGGTGGCGCACGCCTTAAATCCCAGCACTCGGGAGGCAGAGGTAAGCGGATCTCTGTGAGTTCGAGGCCAGCCTGGTCTACAGAGTGAGTTCCAGGAAAGGCTCCAAAGCTACACAGAAAAACCCTGTCTCGGAAAAACAAATAAATAAACAAACAAACAACAACAACAACAAAAAGTTGGTGGTATCTGGCTGAGTTCCACTCTTTACCTTCCATAACTGGTGAAGGTGGGGGCCGCTGAAGGAAGAGCCAAAACAGGCCCCCAAATCTGTGAATCAGACCTGGCTCTACTGGCCTGGGCACCTTCGATGACAGAGAGTGTCCTCTGGCCCTTTGAACTGCCAGCAGTTCCTCATCCTCAGATGTTCCAACAATGGTTTAGAAATCAGGGCCACATCAAGCCCCTCCCCCCCCAAAAAACCCCAACCTACAACATATTTCTAGACTCCAATATAGAATTTGAGAACGTACAATTCCGAAAGGCAAATCTAAACAGACAACACATATCTTTTCTTTCCTTCCTTCCTCCCTCCCTCCCTCCCTCCCTTCCTTCTTTCCTTCTTTCTTTCTTTTTTTAAATCTCCTGTTTAACAAAGAAGCCCAATGGCAGGACTCCCCCCAGAGCCGCTCTTAGTCCTTCAGTGGCTCACATGTCCTCAGGGTCCTTAAGTCTGCACAATACACAGAAACTTCTTCCTGAGACTTCAGGCCAACCAGCAGAGCTGAATTCTGCAAAACTTCATCACCTTAGCCCCAGCGGAAAGAAAGTGGGTCTGGCAAGGCGGGAGAGCTGGGTCAGGGAGAGAAAGAGAACGCCTTAATCCTTCAAGGAGAGCAGCCTGGCCCGTCTGCTTTGCAAGCACTCGCCAGAGGCCGAACGGAGAAGTGTTCCTTTCTGCACAATAACCTCTCCAAAGAAAACACGGTCACCTGGCCCTCCAGGGGAAGAAAGCTCTTCCTCCAAGACTCACGCTGAACTCTTAACCCTAGCCGCCCCGCACCCCAGGGAGTGGCTGATGGTTGTCGTTTCTTTCCTTTTCCCCTGTGGTCCTCTGCTAACACCACAAATTACGTTTTCAGGGACTGGAGTCCCAGAGTGCAACGATGTTGTAATAAACATAACCAGAACCAAATGCCTTCCCATCATGTTAGATGATGCCATTTCCCACCAATCAGGCTCCTCGGGCAGGCAGACCACTCACCAATGAGGGACCAGACAGAGGCTGCGAGGGGGAGACCTGGTCATCAGCAACTAAAAATAAGAGCGCTTCACCATTGGCCGCCCGGCGCCACTTTGCAACAGGAGTTGGGACCCACACACCAGGCAGCACACGTAACGCAAACAGTCCAAAAACTTTCACATCCCGGGGGTTCACACCGGTCTGCATTTTCTTTTTGGTTTGTGTCCTTAATTTTGCTGACTTAGGAAAAAACCTGATCCTGAAGGAGCCGCTGGAAGACACACCCTCCCACCTAGACACCTCAGTGTCTAAAGGCCCCTCACGGTCACACAGAATGGGCGAAAGGTGGGGGTTAAAGGAACCGGCCAGAGGCCAAGACACTCACCTGTCCAGCTGTGTCATAGAGTCCCAGGAGGTACTGCTTGCCCCCCACGGTGACGCTGACTGCAAGGACAGAAGTGGGGGGTAGGGAGAGACTCACAATGACCTGAGGTCGAGCAATTTCGTTTCCCACGGGACCCTCCTTTCCCAAATCACTGGCAGGCGTGTGGGTGCCCCCTGGGAGAGAACACCCCCTTTTTGTGTCCAGCCCACTGCCAAGCGGCGTGAGAGCTAGGTGGAATGTTGGACCCTTGCTATCCACCCCTCTTCTCCCAAGACCCATAGCCACGTCTACCCTAGTGTCCCCAAACGTCTTCCACACAGGGGCTTGGGGCAGTAAGGGAAGCGACCGTGGGAAGGTCAAGGAGGGCGCTCAGGGGACTGAGAAGTGTGGGAGAAGGGGCGAGGGGGAAGACAGGGAGGGGGTGGAAGTTGCTTCGAGGGGTGACCAGAGGCACGGTCTCGGGAGGTGGGGCCGCCAGGCAGAGGGCGCGGCGGGGGAGGGGAGCATGCTCAGGGGAGGCAGCCAGGGGGCTCAGCCAAAGTTGCTCCAAAGTTCCCGGCCGGGGATCAGCCCCTTAGTCAGCAGGACAGAGGCTTACCTGCGTAGTGGTCGAAGACAGTGGGCACGTACTCCTCGGGGAAGGCGTCGTTGGCATAGCTCATGAGCAGGCACGTCTTGCCCACCGCCCCGTCGCCGACCACCACGCACTTGAGCATCAGCGCGCCGGGCCCGTGAGCCATGCTGCGGTCGGCCGGCCTCGGGGCATGGTCCCCCCGGAGCCCCCGCCCCGGCCCCGGGCTCAGCCCCAGCCCGCCTGGGGGGTCCGCCGTCGCCGCCGCTCGGCGCAGCAGGGCCGCCCCCCCGGCCCCATGCAGCGGTTCCCCTCACCGGAGGGGAAGGTGCGGCGGGCCCGGGGCGCTGCCGCCGCCGCTTCGATCGCTGCCCGGCTCCCCGCCCTGGCCCGGCTCGCCGCGCTCGCCCGCTGGCCCCGCCGCTCGGCGCCCGAACCCGCTCCCCGGCCCGGCCTCCCCAGGAGGATCCGCCGGATCATAAGACTGTCCGGCCCCAGGGGAGTCGGCAACTTTGGGGAGGGCGGCGGAGGGGAGGGGCCAGGCGGCTCTGCCCGCCCCGCACCGCCCCGGCCCCCGCCCGCCTGGGCCGGGAGGAAGGCGGTCCCGGCTGCTCCCGAGAGCTGCGCGTCCCGCGCCCCGGCGCTCGCACCCGCGCCCGCCGTGGGGGCCCTGCCGCTCACCCTAGCCTGACTCCCCCGCGAGGCGGGCGCGGAGGCAGTGGAGGAGGCGCCCCGGAGCCGGGAGGACGGAGGGGGGGGGGGGGGGCTGGGGGAGGGGCTCTCGGGCAGCCGCTCGGGAGGAGCCCAGGGCTCCTCGCGAAAGTGCGGCCAGAGCCCGGAAGCGTCTGCAGGCCCTAGTTGCCGGGAGGAGACGTGGAGGCCTTTGGGGGAACCACGACGACTTCAACGGTGACGCAATTGTGCAAAATGATACAGATGTATCTATTTAAATTCTGCCTGGAAGGCAGGAGCCATCCTATGGGCCTGCAAGTGCTCCACGCAACTAGGAATCGGGAACAGCGGCCAAGAGGGTTATAAAAATAATTAATAACAATAATTAGAAAGGCGCGCGGAGGCTGAAAGGATGGTGGGGCTCTGGGCTGGAAAACTGGGACTCCTGGCTTATTGCTTGCTCTTCAGCATCAACACCCCACGCCTTTCGCAGCACGAGCTTGAGTCATTTTCTATGAAATTGGTGACTAAGAGAGATGCAGCATATTGCACCCCCAACCAGCCACAAAGGGGCGAGCCCTCGTCGGCAGACCGCAAATGTTATTTGTGCTCCCCCTGGAGGCGACATTGTCCGAGGCTTGCAAGCTTTCCCAAAGGTCTCTCCAAAAGTATTCGGTTGTGATCCTTGAGATAGGATGTGTCCTCATGCTCTCTGAGATTTGGCCTGAGATCCAGGGCCAACTCTGCGCCTCTGTCTGGCAAGTCCGGTAACACTTGTCTGGCCAGGGCCATTCTGTGACCCAGGGCTGCTTTAAACTTATGGTACTGGGGCGAAGGCGCATTCTGCGCTGACCCCGCACTGCACCCCATCCTCGGCTTGCTGACAGGGACATCACTTCCACACACTGATTCACAGTGGTAGAAATTGCTGTGTTGAGAGGTACGTGGGGTCATTTAGACCCTCGTCCTAGGGTTTTGGGTGAGGAAACTGGTACCTGGGAAGTGGTTACAAAAAGGCTTCCTTTTTACTCCTGGCGTCAAGGACTTCAGGAGCACTTGGGGGAAAACGCTTACTATAATGTCCTCATTTCATTTTCACGATCCCCAGGGGCCAATACTCAAATCCTACACCCGATTTCAATTCTACCGGGAAGATTTCGAGTATCGTTTAAAGTTCCTTGTGAACGTATACCCTTCCCATTGCATTTGAGTGGAGGTTCTTGCATTGGCCGCATTGATAAATCCAAAGTTACTTCATAAATTCTCAAAGGCTAAGAACGGCAACCAATTGCCTTGAAGTCAGATCTTGCCACGTTTCTGTGGAGGGGAGGAGAGGAAGGTTTGCTGCTTGAAAGACCATTAGCTCAGGGCGCATTTGCAGAGGCTAGTATTCTGAAAGGAGGATCTGTGGAAGAAGTTAAAGAGCTGTGGGAGCCAGCTCTGCCGGAAAGCTGAATTTGGTCCAAACACCACAAGTTAGCAGCGTGGCTGCCTTTCTCTGGGCCTCAGTTTTCTGCTCTAAAAAGCGTAAGCTCATCACACAGGGACCCCAGGTTCTGGATGGCTGTGGGAAGCTCTGGGAATCTCAGAGCACACTCCAAGTTGGGAACTGATGTGTGATGAATCATGCAGTGGTGATTTCATTGGCGACAGTGACCTCATTCCCTTGGCCCACAGTAATGCCAAACAGACTGCCAAGAATATTAGAGCTCTGGGGACGGTCACACCTGGTATGGATATGGATTGGAAAAGGGGGTGGGGGAGTCATCCGGAATGCTACCTAGTCAGCCCCTGCTCCCTTCAAACTGGAATCATTAGACCTCTGCAAGACCCTCGATTTCTCATGGGAAAAAAAAAAAAAAAAAAAAGAGAATGCCCAAGTGGTAAAACAGAACAAAACCAAAAACAGTTCTCAAATGTCAAGGACTCGGGACAGGAAGAGACTTTGTTCCTAAGCATCCCATAGGCCTCCGCTTTTTTTCCCCTTTTGTTTGAACAGTGAACATTGAAACAGACACAGGTCTGTGTGGGAACAGTGAACTTGTCTAGGCAGCCTTCTCTTTTTCCTCTACTCCTTCCTTCCTCCTCCTCATTGATTCATCAGTACTTCATTTAACAAGCATGAATTGAGGTCGCCTAGAAGCCAGGCTTTCTTCCTGGCCAGGGGACTTGGAGCTGGCAAGCCACCCTCACTAGAGGGGGAGCGGAAAGGAGCTGATGTGCAAACAGATAATTGCTATATAACGTAATCAGTACTGTGGTAGAGGAGAAAGAACGGTCTTCTAGGAGAGGCAAGGAGGCAGTATCGCATGGCTGTGGGTGTGCCGAGAAGGGATTTGCGGAAGTGGTATCGTTGGCCTGGGGCTCCTGAGGCTAATAGGGGAAGGCCTGGGAAAAGCAGACAGCATGCCCTGGCCAAGGAAGAGCAGCACACAATTTCTTGGGGATGGCGACCATCTGCGGTGGACAGAGGGCAGGCTTAGCAGTGCGTAGGAGCTGATGATACTTCTTGTTTGTCAAACCTTATTCCCACAGGGACGCATACAATCAGAGAGGTTCACCTTTGTCTACGTAGCAAGAGACGAAGGCACCGTCTAGGGAGCGGCGGTCCTAAAAGCAAGGGTGCAGTGAACGAGGAGGAGATTGGCCGAGCACTGTTGTGTGTGGTACCTGTGTTGTGCTGCATACTTGGAGGTCAGTGGTGTAGATAATCTCATTTTGTCTCTAAAATGACTATGCAGGAAAGGACTTGTAGACAGCAGCTATTAGTTGGCCTGCCTAGGACAGCACCACTTGCTTCTGACAAATATTCTTCGTAATTTCCATCTTCTGTCATCGTGTGGCTTGACAGGAAACTCTCTTCTTACACAGCCTACCCGAACCCCCGAGGACTAGCCCTACATGGGTACCGAATCCAAGGCAAGACAAGACACAAACTTCCTGAAGTTTTTGAGTTGGGGGCTCACAGCAGGACTGTCTCCTCTTTCACGGCAGAGCTGGCTTGTGTGGATCTGAACACGGTTGGATACTCAGGAACCAGTCAGTGCAAGAAAATAAAAGCCAGAAAGCCGAGAGAAGCAACGATGGGCGGGCGCCGCCCTCAAGTCTGCGCACATGCATTCCCACAAATGTGCGCACAGGCAAAGGTCGTGTAGGTCATTTAAGTTCGGGATTCTATTGTTCCCGAGGCCTTACTGGCTCTTCAGATGGACAAACGGAGCTAATTCAGCCCTCACGTTGCCTAATGGACTGAAGTTAGTTTTCAGCCACTGGTAACCAAAGGAATTCCGACTCTTCCAGTGTTCCCCATGATAAGCTTAGGTACGACTATGCAAAGACGTTTAGACACTTGCCCAGTGACACAGCCAAGCGACAGGGCTAAGGTTGGACATGTCTTCCACTCTCCTGCCACTGGGTGTATGTTCCACGGCAATGCATCCAAGACTATAGACAAAGAAAAACGACAAATTCAGGTCTGTCATCTGAGACCACCCTGGGACTAGAGCATGGGCTTGGCGAATCGGAGACCGGACAGAGGGAGGAGGGGAGAAATCATGTAAGGCTGAATGAAGTGGGGCTGGAGAGATGGCTCAGAGGTTAAAAGCACTAGCTGCTGCTCTCCCAGAGGTCCTGAGTTCAATTCCCAGCACCCACATGGTAGCTCACAACTGTCTATGAGATATGGTGCCTTCTTCTGGCATACAGGCGGAACATTATATACATAATAAATAAATAAATCTTTTTAAAAAAGGATTGAATGAAGCATTGCCGTGAACATGAAGAAGAGAGGGAGGTGCCAGAATGTTCCTATGACAGAAATCCATGGGTTTATAACAGTATGGGGAGGGAATGTATCTTCCATTTACTGCTCTGACCAGCAGACTTTCCTTGACTCACTAATTAAAAGCCCCGGACTTCATCTGATTGGATAAATTCAGTTCATCTTAAAACCAGTCATGGTAGTGAAACGTTGGGTAGCTTTTGCCTAACCCCTGGGCTTCATTCATAAAACCATCGTTGTGAGAAGGGGTTGGGACCATTTTGATTGACTCTATCAGCCCTTACTACTGAGGCATGGGCTTCGTTTGGACTAGATTCTGGGCTTCCTACGTGATGGGCAGCAGTTATGAAGGAGACTCTGCTGGAGGGGCAGCCAGCAACATCCCTTCCATCTGGGTTGTTGCTCACCTGAGTTCCTAGGTCTCCCAATGCTACAGTGGAAATGATCGTTTTCAAGGGAGAATTGAAGTGTGTGTCAGGTCAGGTGCAGAGGAAGAAGATGAGATGGATCCACATCAGATCCATGATCTGTTGCCAATTCCGGTCTGTTGGGTTGTCTCTACAGGAGCCCATGCTCACTCCAAGTCTTGGTGTGTTTCTCCTCCCTCTCTGAAATTCCTTCTGAGAAGTTATCAATAAGGAAGTGAAGTGATCATCATCCTTCATGACACTGCTTTCTCTTACACATCATCCCTGTGTTCACATTGAGCCACGTAACTGCCGAGGACTTGCCTGCCACACAGATCTTACTGACTTCATGTCATCCGGCCATATGCCATGCCTATTTATCTACACCTCCCGTCTGCATCGCTTTCTTTGGTAACAGACATTGCATGGTATTTTTGAGCTGGGGTACTAATGGCTTAAACACTGTAGTGAGTTCTTAAAAGTCATTGAACCTCAATGATTAGAATAATAAAAACCAAATCTAATAAAATTGCCTCACTTGGTTTTCATTTCCAAGTGAATGTAACTAGATCCCCCTTTCCAGTTCAGTACCTCCCAGAAATTCAGGATTATACCCCAGACACTGAGGATTCAGGCTGAAGTACCTGCCACTCGTAATGTTCTGCCTCATTCTGCCTTGCGCTATACCCTGGGCTTAGGAGAGCAGCCATTGGGACTGGCAGTATCACCACCCCCTTGCTAGACTGTAGGAGAGGACACGTCCTCAGAGGTTGCTGGAATGAAATACTCACATAATTTGGGAATTGTCCTCTTTCATAGCTTCAAAGAAGGGTGGCTGACAGATTTCTCTGAGAAATTGAAGTCAGTATTTTATCCCATGCATCAATACTGAGTGGTGTAATTGAGTTCCTGGTTCAGAAGTGACAGATACATGGATTGTTTAGATATAGGTGGCAGCAATGATACCTACCAGTCAAACTCATCTGTGGCTGTTCTTTCATAGTAGATGTTTTGGTCAGTGGACATCAGAACCACATTTTGAATGTAGAGCATCTTCTGGTTCAGTGGTTCTCACCCTGTGGGTCGTGACCCCCTTGGGGCCGCATATCAGGTAGTTAAATTACGATTCACAACAGTAGCAAAATGACAGTTTTGAAGTAGTAATGAAATCATTTTATTGGGGGGGTGGGGTCACCACAACATGAAGAACTGTATTAAAGGGTCACAGCATTAGGAAGGTTGAGAACCATTGGTCTAGTTTGTGAGTCTCAGTGGGAAGAGAAGAGCTTACCCTAAAACAGACACTGCAGATGTCTGTCCAATCTTTGCCAAATTCATGAGTTAGTGACACTTGGGTTAAATATAAGCCATGTGCTCTCTGGAGTTCAGGATCATGGTGGGTACGTAAGTCAGTTTCTGACCCGGGAAGTGGCACCTCGGGGCAGGCAGTGGTTGTAGATGTGGTATGATTGAATTCCTGGTTCAGAAGTGGCAGGTGGCACAGGGGTTGTCGAAAGCGAGGTGGCGGGAATGGTGCCGGAAGTGGCAGGTGTGTGCCGGACACAGTTCCCATCTTCCACAGTTTCTCCAGCCCTTCGACAGCCCTGCACGCGGTTTATGACTCTCCTAAGATTCTCCATGCCTTTTCTGTTTAATCAGACATCGTTTCTGTTGTTTGCAACCCAACCTCCTAAGAAAGGAGTGGAAGACTACATCGGACGCATTTGCGTAAGCCATGTAGCTGTGCTCACTTCTACTGTAGCAAGCAACAGTACTGGACCAATCTTCCTGGTGCAAAGAACTTGAAAATGGCACCAAGTGCAAAAAGCCGTTGTGTGGTAGTTTAAGTGTAACTGACCCCCATAATCTCATAGGGATTGACCCTATTAGGAGGTGTGGCTTTGTTGAAGTGGGTATGACCTTGTTGGAGGAAGTGTGTCACTATGGGGGCGGGCTTTGATGTTTCCTATGCTCAGGATACCACCCAGTGTCTCAGTCGACTTCCTGTTGCCTGCAAGATGTAGGACTCTCAGCTGCTTCTCCAGCACCATGTTCTGCTTGCACGCCGTCATGCTCCCTGTCGTGATAATAATGGACTGAACCTCTGAACTGTAAGCTGCCACCACAATTAAGTTTTCCTTTACGAAAAAAAAATTTTTTTTAAAAACCCCACTTCCTAATAGAATCACTGAAAATCAGTAATAAAAAGAAGAAAAACTGAGAACAAAAAAGAGAAAAGACTGGTAGAAATAACTGGCTTCTCGTCTAAAATAATGCAAGCAGGAGTTTAGTGTCAGGGAATCTTTATAGTATTGAAAAGAAGGAAAAGAAAGCATCATAATTTGGATTCCACATCTAGCTAAAACTATCCTTCAAAATGGAAGGCAAAAGAAATTTTTTCCAGATATCAAAAATATAATTAAAATTATTTTATTTCTTCTTATGTATATGGGTGTTTTGCCTATATGCACCACTTGCATGTCTGATGCCCAAGGGGGACAGAAACAGGCATCAGATTCCCTGGGACTGGACTTACAAACAGTTGTGAGTGCTGGGAATTGAACCTGAGTCCTCTGGAAGAGCAGCCAATGCCTACACTCCTGAGCTGTCTCTCTGGGCTCTTAAAGAATTTTTTCCAACCATAAGATCCTCACTCTAAAAATTTTAAGAAAGTTCTGCTGAAAAGTCAGATCTATACAATGAAATTAAGAGTTCAGAAATAATAACAATATGTAGACAAATAAAGGACACTTTGCCACTTAAAAAACAATTAAGATAATTGACTATCTAAAGCAAAAATACAGGCTTTTGCATAGTTTATAGCATCTGTAGAAATAGAATAATCATAAGAATAACAACACACCAATAGAAAAACAGCAGTGTATTATGGTAAAATGTCCTACATCGTGCCTTAAATAGTGCTATGGCAGTCTGAATGAGAATGGCCCCCATAGGCTCTTATGTTTGAATACTTGGTCCCCAGTTGATGGGGCTGTTTGAGAAGGATTAGGAGGTGTGGCCTCGTTGGCCATAGTGTATCATCTGGGTGGGCTCTGAGGCTTCAAATACTTCCACTTCATGCCCTGTGCTCTACCTAGCTCAGCTCTCAGCTTCTGCTCCTTCACTCACCATCGTGAATTCTAACCCTCTGGAACCATAAGCCCCAAATCAACTCTTCTACAACCTGCCTTGGTCATGGTGTTTTATCACATCAATAGATATAGTATTATCGAGGGTTGTCTCCATCAGTCTATTCCTGTTCTTATTTTTAAAATGTGTTAGAGTGACTAATTTATAAATAACAGAAGCATGCTGCTCATATAGCTAGCTTGGGAAATTCAGGATCCAAACACTGGCAGACTTTACTATGTCTGGAAAAGGCTCACTCTCTGCTACCAAGATGGCACTTCATTTCGGCATCTACTCTGGGGGAACAGGAGGGCAAAGAGAGAATGAAAAAAGATGAGGTGTATATGAACCCACAAGACCTTTTTATAAGAGTACTCGCTGCATCCATAAGTTCTTTGCCCTTCAAAATCATATTAGGAATAATAGCACATCATGTCTAAGAATACCATGGCAACCAGGCCATGGAAATGGGGATGTAGACATGAGAACCTTTGCATTTAGGAACCTAAAAAGGCAAGCTATTTGTTCTTTGAATGGGGGAAAGAGGAGATTCTGGCTTCCTAATACATAAGTAAATGCCTAACGAGGACCATGACCAGCCCAACCACCATCCTGGCAGAGCACCCTGAGCATGCCGTTAGCTTCTGTTTGGTTCTGTTTACTTTCCTGCCACCATCCGGTCTCTCACACATCCAGGTATCTTGGTCCCACAGGGCAGAGAGCATTGGGCATAGGTGGTATCAGGTATGGGAAGAGAAACACTTTTGTCCTACTGTTCTGCAGACCTTCAACTAAGCATGGGGACTTTCAGAAGTTTCCATGGATCCAGAGCTAACTTATAGCTTATAACATCCCATGTGCTATGGCTAAACAGGTTTAAAGGTACTAAAATAGTTTTGTCTCGCTGGGTAAACACTCTCTGCCTTGAGTTCCCCCAGGAAAGTTATCCCAAGCCTTTCTCTGGCTCCCTGTGACCTCCCTTTTCAGTATCTGGAGGGTTAATGCCTGGCTCAGCAGAGGGCTTTGGGACGCAGCTCCAGAAGGCAGGACCACTCTGGTTGGTCTCATCTTTCACTTGGGTATAAGTTAGAATCATGACAGCCTTATAGACAGTCACCTCTTTGAGTAGACTAGTCTCAGAGGCCTCCAGACAAATCCAGGTAACTACCTCAAACTCTCTAACTTCCTGTGGAGCTCTGTGTCCCAGCAATGTAGGCTGTATGGGAGCCCAGCAAGAGCAGGCCACTGTCACCTCCGTTGTCACAGTCGGTCATCTCTCATTCCGACAAAGGGTTGAGAACACCCAAGGTTGTTGGCAGTTTATGGAGTGAGTAGCCGTGATGACATTGCTGCGTCCCGCTGCCTCCATAGGAAGCACTGGGATGAGTAAGGAAAAGTCCCTGAAGAGACCCTGGATATGGGGTGAGGGACAATGTCAGATAGACATTTACATTCTCTTCCTTGCAAACCAGAACTTGCCCTGTGCCGGGGGTTGAGCTGTGTCCCTCTAAAGAGGTGAAACCAGGACTATCATGATGAGAGTGAATTTGGTTATCAGAGCATGCTCTGAATATGTCACTTAAGGCTGAGGACTAATAGCAGACATGGCCACTGTGTGCCTCCGAGGTTGAATATTTGTATTCCTTCTCAGCTTGCAGCTGGAATCCTGGACAGATAGCGCTCTCTGAGGAGCTATATCACAGGGCTACTCACTCACCTCACCCTTAGGTCTAGTCCTCTGGAGGCTTCCTGGGATCTCTGACCTAGGTCCACTTCCCCATAGGTGGTTAGTGGAGTCCAGTTCTATGTAAGGTCAGAGGTGAGGGACTTTGGAAGTGAGGCCAGGGAAGTTACGCTTTGTAATAACAAACTCACCCAGGACCTTCCAGAGCTTGTTCAGCCTTCTCATCTTTAGCCTTTTCAGTTCCATCGTGAGGGTAACAGCATCCCTCTTTCACAGATGTGGCTTCTTTGTGTCAAAGTCAGGTCATCTGACCCTATGTTGGTTAATTTTAGTCAATTTGACACACACTAGTGTCACCCAAGAAGAGGCAATCTCAATTAAAGAAATGTCCCTATCAGACTGGCCTATGGGCACGTCTGTTGAGCATTTTCTTGATTAATGGTTAATGTAGGATGGCTCAGCCCACCGTGGGTGGTGCCATCCCCTGGACAAGTGGAATTGTATACAACCCATCCCCTGGGTTGTGTGAGAAAGCAGGGCTGAGCAAGCCATGGAGCAGCACTCCTCCATGTCTTCTGCTCCAGTCCCTGCGTCCAGGTTCCTGCTTTGACTTCCCTTCATGATGGACTGTAAGCTGTAAGAGGAAATAAACCCTCTCCTCCGCGAGTTGGTTTTGGTCGGTGTTTTATAATAGCAATAGGAAGTGAGTTAGGACAGAAGTTGGCACCAGAGAGTGGGTTATTACAATGATACACCTGGCCATATTGCTTAGGGGAGGATTCTGGAAGTATCTGTAAGTTTGGTCTGGAAATGCTGTCAAGCCCTTGGAGCTTAATGTTCTGTGGAAACATGGAAGATAATGCTGAGGGCGATGCAGGTGTTGGATGCCTGGCTTGTGAAATTTCAGAAGGAAGCAACAACAACTTTCAGGGCTGTTGATATTTTGCATTGGGAATCTGTGGGTCTTGGTTAGCTGTGGCTCTTGGTTAACAAGAGACCAGCACCCCGAAGTGAAATCTTTGCTTTACTGGGACAATCAATGCTGCTTAGCTAGGGCTGAAAAATCAGCTATGGGTTAAGAAGAATCCAGCATCATCGAGGTGAAACTTGGGAAGTGTTTCCTCAGGGTCAGGACATAGAATCCATGGTCCAGACAGGCCAAGGCCACATTTCAAGCTGGCAAATGAAGTTGGTGATGTGTAAACATATCCCATGCAGGATGGCATTGTTGGCATGGAAGTTTCATGACTCAAGGGGTCATGAGGGGAAGTTGAGGCACGGTACTTGAGGTGCCAGGAGAGGTTACTGGTGAAGGCACAGCCTCAGCTGTGGTGGAAACCCCGAGGTACTGAGACTTGGCACCATGTGGCAGGGTTGGAGTCCCTGAAGAAGCCAGGAGAGGCCATTGGTGAAGGTGCAGCCTCGGTTGTAGTGGAGAGCCCAGCACACTGGAGATGCCTTATTTTTTCAAGGTGATTTGGGCTGTGTCACCAGAAGGTGCAAGGACAGAACTGGAGGGCTTCTCTTGTGGAGGACATGCCCCTGGAAACCAAGCTATGCTAATTTGAAGCAAGCTGCTCTTGGGGAGAACCCAGCCTCTCTGAAATACTGCTTTGAAAAGGCTGACCTGCAGATGTTCTAGAAGAGGCTAGCTTGTGGCTCCTTAATGTAAATGATTTTGGAAGAAGTGTTCCCTCGCCTTGTCAGGCTCTCTTCCCTTTTCTGCCTGGCCCCTACAGGCGTTTCTCATTCTGCTGTCAGGACCAGAAATTGCTTAGCTGCTGGGATGGAGTCTCTGGTCCTCACTGTCCTCACTGAAGTAGTCTACGCTTTTCTGGCCCTGGATTTTCTGTCTAGGAGTGAGCTTTTACTTCTGGATCAAATGAGTGTTTTGTTCTTCCTTGCCCTCCCCCAGCTGGCTCCTGAGAGCGCGGCGCAGAGTTCCCACCGTCTCACGGTCTTACCCCCGGCCCAGCTGCTCTGCCCTGTGAGGGTGGCATCCAAGCGTCACACCCTGATAGCCTTCCTGGCCCTCCTCCCCTTTCATTACGGACACCCTGTCTCTCATCCCAGGCCTCACCTGCTTTATCGTTGGTTCATCTGTTCAGCCTCTGACACCACCGGGTGAATCTCCCTAGACCAGTGTTGGGTCAAGCTGCAACCCTGTTCGGAAGCCACAGGATCTGTCACTCAACCGAAACCTGCCGCCACTTTATCTCTGCCTTTTGTTTTCCCTTTGCCCCCTTTCACCTTGAGTGGCAGGTACCTTTCCACACATCTGAGCCAGAGGCCTTTCCGGGCAGCTCAAGTCCCTGCTAAGAATTGGATCTCGGTGAAGCCTTGACTCGTTCCTGTCAATTTGGATACACCCCCAATTGTGAATTCTACCAACGGCCTCTTTTCCAGAGGACTCTCTCCAAGTTAAGGCGCTGTACTGGATCTCCCTGAGAGTGCGTTTTGTCTGAGTGTCCCTAAATGTCTGCACATCCTTCCATTTCTCGTCATCCCCTTGGTCGCTCACTTGTGTTTCACTGTCAACACCCAGACATTTGAAACCACCCTCTTGTAAGACTGAACTGTCTGCAGGGCGGTACACTGTAACAGCCTGTGACGAGCTTGGGCCAGATCCCTCCAGTCATGTAGCTGTGTTGACATTGCTGATGCCTAGCCCTCTGGTTTGTGAGTTCCTGCTTCCAAACCATGTCTCCCATCACACCAAGGACCTGGGAACCGGGGCTGGCATTGCCTTGTTCCCACTCTCTTGGTGGTACCTGCACAGTGCCTCACACACGGCTCAGCCAATCTTTGCCGAGAGACAGAGAAGGGGATGCCCCCTCACACATATTCATTCTGAACTCCCCCATAGGATTTCCTAAGTCTCTTCACCTGCTTCCTGGGCCCTCCACATTGCCCCATGCTTCGAGCCCTGGAAAACCCCTTCTTCTTGTTGCTTGGCAATCCCTGAGTGTCTAGAGGCCCGGATCTGATGTCACTTCCCTTTGACGGGGTAGCGAGACCGTACCACACACATGTGACCTCAGGCATGCTTACAGACATAGCTGGAATGAAGGGTGGTTACTTCAGGGTCTGGGCAAGGGTCCTGGCTGGCAACGCTTGGCTTCCTCTTGGGGGACAGGACTCCTCACTTTTCTAGGATGCACACAGCTTCATGTAGGTGAGAGCCTGAAGAAATAGAGACTCCCAAGCTCATGCATCCTCCTCCTAGGACCTTTCCCACACCCACAGATCCAAAACCACCAGCTCTCAAATATCCCATCCCCAGTCACAGGAGGGGCATCTGAGGTCTGAGCAACATTCATTTTTAAAAAAGTAACTAACTTACACTTTGTGTGGAGGTCTTGTGTGTTAGTGGGAGTGTGCCATGACGCATGTTTGGAGGTCAGAGGACAACTTGTGGGAATCTGTTCTCTCTTTATCATGTGAATCACGTGACCGAACTTAGCTCAGCAGACTTTGGTGGCAGGCACACCTTTACCCACTGAGATATCTCGCTGGCCCTTGACATTTCCTTTCTTGACCTGGGTGGTAGGTAGTTACCAAATGTTTGCTTGGCAGCCAGGGCTCCCAAGTTACAGTTCATTAAGCTGCACATTTGCGTTCTGTGTACTTTTCTGAACGTATGTTGTATTTTACAATCTAAGAAGACAAAAGGAAAGAAAGAAAGAAAGAAAGAAAGAAAGAAAGAAAGGAAGGAAGGAAGGAAGGAAGGAAGGAAGGAAGGAAGGAAGGAAGGAAGGAAGCACAGAAGAAAAAGAGAAGAAACATTCTTTCCTGACTCCAAGCCCTTAGTCCAGTCACCCACACTGAAGGAGTGTCCACCTGTACCTATCTCTGCTGGAGTGCCAAGGGCCCCGGGCCCAGCTCTGAATTGTTGTCATTTGGATGACGAGCCCAGAGGCCCAAGAAGGAGTGTGACTCCAATGGGTCTGACAGTAAGGGTGGGACTTTGTCGAGCTGGACATTTTACTTGAGGGAACAGCATGAACAAGCATTGCTGAGTGGAACTGGGCTCGTGTGCATGGGGTGTGAAGCAGCAGAGATGCCCTGTTACTGAATATGGTGTAGATGCTGGGAGGTATGTCTGGCTTAGAGGCCCAGCTTGCTGCCCCAGCCCCAGATGTCAGCAGGACAAATGCTACTTTCAGGGAAGTAGAATAAAGGACTCTGGGCCTTTATGCAAAAGCAGACATGAGATTTTTGTCAGTTTGTTGTTTTGCTTAAACCACAGGCCCATGTGAGCTCACAAACTCTATCCCAGACAGGCGGGAAGTTACATCTGCCAGACACATGACATGGACACCGGAGTTCCTGCAGACACATTTGCTCTAGGCCTGAATTTCAGCCCACCCTACCCGGCAGCTGCTTCCAAGGCCAGCGTTAATGAACGCAGTAGAAGTTGGTGCACAGGGAAGAGACCTCAAGAACAGTGGACTGCAGCCCCTGGAGGCGGCGGTGACGAGCTAGGAGAGGATCCACTCCCACCCCCAGCCTGGGACCTTGGAATTCAGAACGTCGTCCACCATCCCGAGGGTGTGTCTGAGTCTGGACTACAGATGGGGCGGGGGGGGGGGGGGGGGGGCACTGTGAAATGGTAGAGGCATCCCTGAACTCCAGCTGGAGCTACTAAGTTTTTAAAAAAGAGGCAAGGCTGGCGATTAAAAGTCAAATCAGGTCTAGCTCCTTTGTGCCCAAAGAGGGACTGTGATGAGGAGTGTGACACCCAAATCCAAGAAGAGGTCATAGCAGCCATGTGTTGAGGACAGTTACCATCCAGGAAGACTGACTCTGCCCACGGCTGGGATCAGTCTTCACTTCTTTCATTTAAGCAATGGCTCCATGATGTGGATGCTGTTATATTATATCCATGGATATGTACATTATACCCATGACGAAACTGGATGGAAGGGGACCCGAGCTGCTTCAGAAAATTAGATGCATGGTCAGTGCAGAGCTGGGCACCCTACCGGGGAGCCTGCACAGTAGAAACTGGCACTGTCTGGGCACAGAGAGGCACCTCCATCGTGAAAAGGAGCCCAGCAGCCCCGTGATAGGGGTGGCTGTCACCAGACAGTCTGGTGACTTTGGATTGGTCTGCTTTCTCATTAAACAGCCTTCAGAGTTGGCTCCACAGGCAACTTGCCTTCAAGAAAAGAGGCTGTGACCCACCAGCATGGCAGCTGTTAGTTTTCATTAGTAAATTAATAAGCTAGCTGCTTGGGTCTATAAAGATGTCTGTTAAAGAAGAGGCCACCCCAGAGTAGGGCCCTCTCTGTACCAACTTAATTGAGATTCTGAGTGTGCAAGCTTAAGCCCCGGTCTCAGCCTCAGTGCCAAGGAACCCTCTCTTGGACTCTTCTTGGCAGAACTGGCCAGCCTTCCTAAGGGGGGGGGCCTAGCTGTGAATTGGAGCTGCTTGGTCAGATGGCCAGGGTCATCTGTACAGAAGGATATGACAGTGCCAGGTTCCAGTGTGTGTTCCAAGTTCCACATTCTGTGTCAGACTCACGGCGCCAGACCAAAGGCGGCTCCTGGCAGGGAACTGGTAAAGGCTCGCCTGGTGTGTTTGTTCCTCTACACACATGCCCGGGGTGCCCTACATCTCAAACTCCCTAGCCTTTCATCCCCAGTGGCTCCAAAAGCTGGTGACCAGCAGGCACTTGGGGAGCCTTTTACAACTGATTTAATCAACATGTCTCATGTAGGAGCAGGGAATGCTTTTTTTGCTCTGTTGACAAAAGAAACTTTAGTTTTCAAAAGCATACTTCAAAAGAACATGAGATCAGTTCAATAATTTTTCTTTTTGGATAAAAGTTATTTTAGATAGGAACTTGCTGCATAGCTCTGGCTGACCTGGAACTTGCTATTAGACCAAGTTAGCCTCAGAGTCACAGAGCGCTGCCTGCTTCTGCCTCCTAAGTGCTGGGCCTCGAGGCATGCGCCACCACGGCCAGCCTTTTTGAAAAATTTAAAATGACGTGGACATCAGGGCATGGGTGTAGAGTTCAAAGGACAGCTTACTAGAATTGGTTTTTTTCCTTCTACCTGTGGGTCCCAGGGATCACACTCGGGGTTTCAGGCTTGGAGGCAGGTACCGTTACCCACGGAGCATCTCACCAGTCCTGATTATGCCTTTCGTATCTTTTTACTTCAATTATTCTTTAGCTCTAAAGTTTATTTAGTTCTTTGTGTAGTCTCTTTCAAATGTTCTCATTTTTTTTTCAGACTTTTTTTTTCTGAGCTTGATGAGATTTTTTGAGAGTTTTATTTTTTAATTAATTTATTCTTAGACAATTTCACATGTGTATATAATCTATTCTGGTCACATACCCCCCCCATCCCTTACTCTCCTCCCACACCTCCCCCACTTCCACACTTCATTTCCTCCTGCCAAATCTCCACCATACTTTGCCCTTTTTTTTTTTTTTTTTTTTTTTTTGCTTTGTGACCTACTGGATTTAGCCAGGTCCTAGGGACATGGGCAGGGAGCAAATGGAGCATTAGTTACTCAGGGATGGCTATGTTACTAGGGAAGATGACTTTCTCTCCTCCAGAAGCTCAAGACTGCCATTAGCTTTCCTGGGTTGGGTGGGAACCCCACTAACCCCTCATCCATCTATGATTGAATGTTTACGGGTTCAGTCTTTCGTGGGTCCCATGCCAACAACCCACAGCTGTTGTAAGCTCGTGAATGTCATGGCCATATCATGCCCAGAGGATAGCATTTTATGGCCCTAGTAGGAAAGTTTTTTTTTCTTGTGTTTTTTATTTTTATTTTGTCATTGTCTGTTTCTGTGGCGCTAGATGAAACCCAGGGCCATGTGCGCGTCAGGCAGATGCCCTACCATGGAAGCGTATCCCCAGTCTGAGGATTTGTCTCCTCCTCCTCCTCCTCCTCCTCCTCTTCTTCTTTGTTACAGTTATTATTGGAGGAGGATGTGTGTATGGTGAGTGTTTGAGTGTGGCGGTACACACACCGCGGTGCATTCCTGGAGGTCAGAGGGGTCGAGTCGAGTCTGTGCTCCTGCCTTCATGTGGGGCCTGGGGACCAATCACAGCTTGTTGGGACTGTTCGGCAAGCACTCTAGCCCAGCGCTCTTTGTCAGATCCCGGGCCCCGGACGATACTGGCAGAGGATTTGATAACCATGTGTGTAGGATGAGCAGGAGGGGTGGAATGAGACTTTCAACAATGGATTTCTTATAGGTCCTCGATGCGATTCAAATGTATGCACAAGCTTGGAAGCCATTCCCAGTGAAAAGACAACCTTCAGCCTCTTCAGCCCCATGCCTCTCCCCAGAGTGCCTTTATCCACTTAGCCATACTCTAACTCTTCGTATCATTAGAGATTTTGTGAGGCCTTCTGCCTCTGCGCAGTCTTCCTGGATTGAATCCTACAATTACCAGGTTCTCATGATTCTCTTCAGTCTTTCCCATCCCATAATGTATATTTGGTTTTTGTAACCTTAAAAAAAATTGTGTGTATGGGTGTTTTGCTTGCATATATGTCTGTGTACCACATATGTGCAGTGCCTGGGGAAGCCGTAAGAAGGTATCAGATTTCCCTAGGACTAGAGTTTCAGGTCCTTGTGAGCCACCATGTGAATGCTGGGAATTGAACTCAAGTCTTAATGGCTGAGCCATCTCTCCAGCCCCATGTGGAGACATTCTTCGTGTATTGATTTGGTATTTCCACTCCATTGACTTTCTATCTGAGTCTTAAGCCATCACTGCCTAGAGAATTCAGGACTAGAATGACCCCCAACTTCCGGCTATCGTGTGGCAATGAGTGGACGAGGAATGGAAAGAGGGCGAAGCCTCTGTCACTAGGGAGTGACTGGCTTCTTACACATCACTTTCCATCCCTGGACTTCCGTTTACTTACCTATAAACTGAGGGCTGTAGAGATGGTCTCCAGGATCCTTCCCTTTAGAGTCTGATTTCCCCTTTCCTCCTTTGCATACTCTGCAGGGAGGAAGCAGAACTCCAGCAAAACTCTGGAAACTGCCCTAAATCTAAGACACCAAAGGGCCCACGGGTTCTCCCTCCACCCCACTTTCTGAGAGCAGCCATGGCCCTGACTGACATCGACGTGCAGAAGCAAATCAAGCACATGATGGCGTTCATCGAGCAAGAAGCCAATGAAAAGGCAGAGGAGATAGATGCCAAGACAGAGGAAGAGTTCAACATTGAGAAAGGCCGCCTCGTGCAGACCCAGAGACTAAAGATTATGGATTATTATGAGAAGAAGGAGAAGCAGATAGAGCAGCAGAAAAAAATCCAGCTCTCCACCATGAGGAACCAGGCACGGCTCACAGTCCTGAGAGCCCGAGACGATCTCATCTTGGAACTGCTCAGGGAGGCGAAGGAGAGACTCGGTCAAACTGTGTTGGATCTAGGTTTCTATCAGGAGCTGCTGGATAAACTTGTGCTCCAGTCCTTGCTCCGGCTTCTGGAGTCTGTGATGATTGTGCGCTGCAGGCCGCAGGACCTCCACCTGGTGGAGGCTGCAGTGCAAAGAGCCATCCCTCAGTACGTGATGCTCTGCCAAAAGCATTCAGACGTCCAGGTTGATCAAGAGATATATTTGCCATCGAACACCGCTGGAGGGGTGGAGGTCTATAGCGGCGACCACAGAATAAAGGTTTCCAATACCCTGGAAAGTCGACTGAGTCTCGCGGCCCTGGCAATGATGCCAGAGATACGAAAGACTTTGTTTGGAGTTAATGCCAATAGAAAGTTCTTTATATAAGGCTCTGGGAAGGGAAGCTTCGGTTGAACTGCAAAGTCAGAAAAGTCTTAAGTCATTTGGACAACGGGAATGGGATGTGTGTGGGGGCGGGGGGCAGTGGGCGGGGGGAGTGCTTCTTCCTCTTTGGAAGCTCCGGTGTTGATGCCTAGCTTTGAATGGCTAAAAGAATCGCACACCGTTAACTTTGGAATAAAGCCCAAATGATGCTCAGAAATCAAATTCTAGTTCATCCATGTTTATGACAGTTTCTGTGGCACTTTGAAGTCTGGGATGAAGGAAGTGAAGACGTCTTCGCCTTAGATGAGACATGAAGTACACCTTTGACCTATGAGTCCCAGGCTCTAAGCGTATTCAAATATGAAGTGTGTTTTTCCTCCCTCCTTTCAGCTTTAGTAACTTGTGATAATGGTATTGAATGAGGGTCAACGTCATAGATGTGTCTGGTACAGCTTCCCCCGGGTTCATGCTCAGAAAAGCCCCAGGCAACCAGAAACTGAACCTATGATTTCATGTTCCTGTAGCCACTGCCTTGAAATTCTTGGTATCTTTGATGTGTAGGAAGCTATAGTGGACAATTGGGGTAGGTAACATGGGTTTGGACCCTTGGCTTAGGCATGCTACTGATTTCAGAAGCTCGCCTGTATTCCTGAAGTTCATTCTTGGCCTGTGTCTCTTATCTCCCTGCTGCTCCAAGGCCCAGGCTTCTCCATTTCTAGCTAACATCGCCGCCACCTCTCTGCCCCTGTATGTATGCTGTGTCTGAGTGGGGTAGACACGCTCTATGCAGTTCAGGGTCAAGCATAACGATAAACATCTCTGATCTCAGCTCAGGCACAGTGTGTCATTCTTGAGGCTGATGGGAAAGAGAACCAGCAGTTCTTTCTGGGCCCAAGTATCGAGGCAGGATCCTCAGCAGTTTCTGAGGGCATGCCTGTGGCCTGCAAAAAATCCCCACACCTGCCGGAGTCCTCCCTCAGATTAGCTGGATGCCTGTGGGGATTTGGGCTATCTCTCCCAGAGAGCTTGGAGTACACTCTGGGAGAAGCACGGAAAAGCAGAGTGTGGTCACTTTTGTTTACATGTGGGCACTACATACTGTAAAGCGAATAGTGGGGTTGGAGATACAGTTCACTAGTGAAGAGCACTTGCTGCTCTTTCAGAGGACCGCAGTTCATTTCCAGCATCCACATGGTGGCTCATAGCCATCCACCTCTAACTCTGGTTCCAGGGGATCCAATTCATTATGACCTTGGCAGGCACCGGGCACACATATGGTGCATGTACCTACATGAGGCAAACGCTCATAAGTGAGTAGTAAAATCTGTACTGATTTTGCTTTATTTAGGAAGACGTTAAATAGTAAACACACAGGAAAAGTGGAGAAATTGCAAAAAGAAAGCACTCCCTATGCCATCACACTTCCGCTACTCTTTAAACAAAGGGTCCTGCCTTTTTATTTTGCACTGGACCCCACAATTTCCATATTTAGGTCTGTGTGGGTGTGTATGCTTTCATGTTTAATCCGTGAGTATGTGCCATTGGTTAAAAGGTTTGGGATAGAAGAAACTCGGAACGACTTTTCAGAGCCAATACTATGCCCTATCTGGTTAGGACCGTGTACTGGACAGAAGCCCCATGGGACTCAAACACAGGCCTGGGGGCAGGTTATTAGTAAGTTGGGGCGATTCACAGAACCCAGGGGCAGAAATCTCACAGGGCCTCAGGAAAGGGCTGGAATTGAGACTCAGAAAAGCCACTTGGAATCTTCTTTCTCCTAAGTCCCATCTCCACCATTTGCCAAATTCTCCTCACAGAGTTGCCAGGCCACACATGACTTGTCCTTATCCCCACCCCCTCTTCCTATGGTTCCAGTATACCCCTTCACCATGTCCCTTCAGCCAAACCAAAAGAGATGTTCCACCAAGCACCGGCATTTCCCCAGTTCCCTCGAGGGCTCAACACGAGAGGCCTTTGTTTCCTGGTGCCACGTTCCCCCTGTCTCGTCTCCTACACATTGCCTTCCAGACAGGGGTCATCTCTATCCTTCTTCATAGTCCTGCTGCCTGTGACTTTTGCATCTGGTGTTGGGTGACACAGAGGCTCTGGGTGAGTATTAATGGACATTCTGGAGAGGGGACTGTAGTCAGAAGTTTTCCTGTATCCTGCATGGTCCTGCAGCAGCTCAGGACCCAAGTAAACATGTAGAGGCTTATATTATTACAAATTGCATGGCCATGGCCTATGGCTCTTTTTTTTTTTTTTTTGCTAGCTAGCTCTTATAACTAAACTCAGCCCATTTCTATTAATCTATATGTTGCCACATGTTCCATGGCTTTATGTGTGTGCCATTACATGCTGCTCCCTGGACGATGGGATGGCGTCTCCTCCACCTCTGCCTTTCTTCTTCCTGTCTCTCCCCTGGATTTCCCGCCTGCCTCTAAGCTGCCGTGGCTTAGGCCAATACAGCTTTATTTATCAACCAATTAGAGCAACACATATTCACAGCATTCAGAAAGACATCCCACAGCAGAGAACTCCTGGGTCTCTCCTATTCTGGCTTGTAAGAAGGGAAAGGGATGTGGTATAAGGGTCTGGGGAAAGGTATCTCCACAGTATTTAAGAATCAGAGCTTGACAAGAAAATCCATCTCTGCTGCGCCTGGGAGAAAGGACTGTAACAGAGCTGCTGATCTTGAGGAAGACTCCTGCCTTGCTTCTCACCCGAACGCACCTGGGGGCTTCTGCACCTCTTCCTTCCATGAGCAGGGCCTTGCTTTGCACCTGTGTGCACAAACTGGGGTGCTCTGGAGGGTGTGCGCCTGACCAGTGTCCTCCGCAGGTGCCGTGGGAAATGCATATTCCAGCTTCAAATCTGCTGCTTGGCCCTAGGACTAACTTGGCGTGGGTGGCAGACTGCCTCATCCTGCCGTGTAGTCGACAGCGGTGTGTGCCCTCCCCCAGGGTCTTTGCTTTAGAGATGCTTGCCTAGGCATGCGGTTAGCAGGTTTGCACTCTTTATCGGTGCTCACAATCTACCCAGAAGAAGGTGTGTTCTTGGAACAACCCCCCCAGAACCCACAAGCAGGCACAGCCCTTCCCCATGCTCTTCTCATTAGCACTTTCTTCTGAGGTGTGAGGCAAGCTGTTGGCGGCAAGGCAGAGCTGCTGTGCTTAAAGTGGCGTGGATGCTGGGGAGACTCCCCACACTGAGGGGAGCTGGGGTACAGGAACCCCTCCCCCTCGTTGTACCCGTGAGTGCTTCATCAAGGGTTAGATCTGTCAGCAGGCAGAGGAAGAAAGTAGACATAGCTCTGACTCTGAGCTTCCCAGAGAGCAGCAGACGGAGATGGCATGGATGCTTTGGTCATGTGGCCAGTCCCAGAGAGAGCTGGGAGACCAAACCTGCAACAATGAAAATATAGTAGGGCTCTGCCGCTGACCCTGAGGTCATGGGGGGGTCTTAGAAATGGGCCACCAGATTGTACCCCTACTCGCACCTCTGGAGAACAACTGTGGCCCCTTGCCTGACTGCCTGGGGACACGTTCTTTACCCCTTTTCCATGCTCTCTCCAGTATACACTTTACTCCTTCCAACTCAGATCCCATCCCCGAAGTCTCCCTCACTAATGACAGATGGGAAAGGAAGCTCTGTTTCCCTCCCATCACTGCCCCTAGCCTCTGTTGTAAAGTAAACGAAACCCTTGCTTTCCTGAGCAAGCTCATAGCTCGCGGGGCTTGTCCTACAGGGTGGCCCTCTTTTACAAGGAGGTGGAGTACTTCTGTCTGAAGACACAGTGAAATGGGGCCCCAGGCAGTAATATTCGGGCCTTAAGACTCTTGGCCCACATCCTCAGCCATCTCCTGAGAGTGATGAATGTGAACTCTTTTGTCACTGGGCAATGAACCTGTGGAGGGTGACGTTATGGAGCATCATCCTGGATGCTCCCAGACCAGCGCAGACTCCTGTCCTGGAGTGTACAGGAGGCTTAGAAATCCAGGACACTCAAAGAGCCACATGTCTGCTTGAATCTGAAGTCCCGAGGGAGCATGAAAGCAGTCCAGCCAGGGTCTGACCTGCTACGACTCCTGGGGTTGAAAACAAGCTGGAAAAGCCTGAAGTTGTCATCTCTTTTTTTTTTTTTTTTTTTAATAAAAAAACACACTGTGTAGGAATGAGAGCCTTGGCGGCCAGCAGGCCAGCTACAGCAGTAAGCACACGGCCATGGCTGGGTTCCTGGGAAAGCCTTCATTCTTCACTCTCAGGGTGTGCCGAGCTCAGGGCTTAGTCACACGAGGACCCACAGGAACAGTCTGTACAGGAACAGTAACTGGAGGGGCCCAGAAGGTGTACAATGTCACCCCTGTACCATGTCAGAGTTCTGACAGCACCCTAAGGGACAGAGTGGGTGGGAAGGTGGGCCCAGCCCACAGCACCTGCTCAGGGCTGTGTCCTAGTGGGTGCTGACAACTCTGTGGGAAAGCTGGGCGGTGGTGGCACACGCCTTAAATCCCAGCACTCGGGAGGCAGAGGCAGGTGGATCTTTGTGAGTTCGAGGCCAGCCTGGGCTACAGAGCGAGATCCAGGAAAAGGCGCAAAGCTACACAGAGAAACCCTGTCTCGAAAAACCAAAAAAGAAAAAAAAAAAAAACAAAACTCTGTGGGAAAGAAGGGAAAAAGAAAGGACGAGAGGGAGGAAGAAACAGAAGAAGATAGAAGGGTGGGAGAGGAGGGATAGAGAAGAGGAAAAGAGAGGACAGAAGATGCTGTAGGGCTTAATTGGCAAGAGGAGAACAGTGAGAAGTATTTGAAGATTTTTGTCCTCGGTTCTTTGGATTCCGAGTCCTGGCTTTTCACTTAGTGAAATTTCTCAGCAATAGACTTCTTATTCATGCATTCTGAAAACATTGTGTCATATTGCATCGTTACCAAGTGGTCGTTGCACTGAACAGGACAATGACGGCTCCGAGCCTTTAAGGAACCTTCCCATAGGGATGGTCAGGGCACAGATGGGAGAAGTCACCAAGGGCACTAAACAAATCGCCAGTGGATCTGTTAA